ATCTTTTATTCTTCTTTGTCATTTTTCATTTCTATACAAGTATTATCTATAGCGTTCCCACCAAACCAAAGGCATAGTATAACAACTTGTAAAATAAAGATTTAGATGACAATATTTAGATCAGTGTTTAGATCAGAATCCATATGCAGCAGCTCATAGGCTTAGTTTGGCTAGCAAATCGAAAATTAGGAAAATGCTTTTAACGGTACAAAAACATTAAAAAGCTAAGATGCCACTGAAAATGTGTCTTGGAAGACAGAGAAAAGCTCCTTTCTCTGTGTGTGTCCTTATATTTCCCAAACTGTGTTTCATTTATCACATACGACCAGGATGCTGAGACCAATTTCACTGTTATTTTTCCATTGAGCTTTTTAGATCCAAAAAATAGGATAGCTATTAAAAGCCACATGAGGCAATAGATATAACATCAGAATAGTTGATTCTTGTTGATTCAGATCTGATTATTGTTGATTTGTTCATTAATATCATGCCAGTGAGAAAAAGATAGCTTCATCTTGTAATCCAGTGATACATAAACTCTGTCATTTATTTTCCTTGTGTGGAACGGTTGCATCTCACATAGTCTTTTGGTTCCCTATTGAATCCTTTAGCTTGTATATGTTGTGTGAGTTCCCACCAATCAGTGCCAGGTGCATTTTGAGTCCTGGAGCGGAAGTCTGACAGGCAACAAGATCTGTAAGAGAAATGTAGCACCAAAGTCACACCGCCAGTCATAGGTGCCAGGCAAGTGCATATGTCATATACGTGGAATTGCCTCAGGAGTAGCAGCTGAAACCCGCCACTTGGCATTAAGAGTCACAGAGGTGTTACCGTGTGCCACACTTGCCATCACCCCACCGCTCTTTCCCTGACCCTTTTGTTTGTCACATGCTGTCACCTCTGTCGTCCTGCCAGACCCCTGGATGTCACTCGGGTGAAGTCACGTGCAACATAGCCACAGAAGGTGCAATGTGATGGTTAGGGGCTGTCAAAATAGGTGTCACTTTGACTACAGAGTGCTCCCATTATTATAGAAAGCTGGAAGGTGTAATGAGCGTAGACACATAGCAGTTTTTTTTTGTTTTTTAGACTATTTTTAATTGTGCTTGAGACCATTTTTGTCTGTTTATTGCAAAAAAGGCACATAAGGTGACATTTGAAGTGTTTACTGTTATCGTACAGAATAAGTGAACACCTTACAATAATGCCCATTTCAATGTAGTGTGTTCTCATTTCCTTATCACCTTTACATTGTGTGGCTCTCTTTGTTTAATTTAATTGTCCATCTTATATCTGCTCATCACATGGTCTGTCTCTTAGTCCATCTTTTTCTATCTCTCTCAGTATGAATGACTTTTTACAAGAGCATGTTGAGATAAGCTCACATTTCCCATCTGAAATCAAAGCTAGTGATAATGCTTTGCATATTTGCTCATTGCATGCTGTGATCTTGTATAATGGCTAAATGAATTGAGCAGTTATTCTAAATATATTTCAGTGAATGTAGTGTTCATACATCTAGAGCAATCTTCATTCTTCTCTCATTCTATATCCATCACAGTTGAAATGGTTGCATTTAATGCTGTGTGATCTTTCACTTTATTTGCACTTTTTTTTTAGATAAGATGTATTGACACACCTTGCTGAGCTTATAATAAAGCTCAAAGTGGTGGTTGCTGTTGTGAGAATCGTAGACCTGTGCTGCGAAGTCAAAGCACCACCCTATTCTCCAGCCTGTGTGTGTGTGTGTGTGTCTTGTTTTTCCAGACTGTAATTGTAATCCCTTTGGCTCAGTCAGTGATGGCTGTAATGGCACAGGATTTTGTATTTGTAAGGAGGGCACTACAGGGCCTAAGTGTCAGGAGTGTCTACCCGGCTATTTGTGGGACGATGGCTGCAAATGTAAGTAGAACCGCAACCCTTCCCAAGCAGCCCCCCCCCCCCCTTTGTCTCTGCTATCTCTCTCCGATTCCTTTTCTCTCTGTATGACTCCCAAGCCTTGGCTGGAACAGTGCGCTGCACATGCGCAGCACTAACAGATACAGACCTACCACGCAACATGAGCTACAGTATCCCACAAAAACTATGCCATCTCTTTCATTACCTGATCCCGCATCTCACTCTTGCTGTGGCTGCATTGCCAATATAATATCAGCAGGTGCCTGTTGTGCCTCAAACAGAGAAAAACCAATGGCATGGCAGGATGCATGCTGCTCGGTAACTCTGTTATCCAGGCGTGTCGCCCACAACAACACAACAGCTGAGTCAATATTGACTGCTTGACAGGCTGCCTGTGATCCCCATTGCCAGTACACAACAGGACAATGTCATCCAACACCAACATTTCTTAAAAAGGAGAAGTCGGGTCATTCTGAGGTCCAGCTCATTTATTACTGCCTGTCATTTATATCTCCCCCAGTCATTTTACAAAGCATGCCTTGTGTAGTCTTTGTTTTCCCCCAAATGTCACCTGTTTTTCTTTGGGTTCTTATCCTGTGAGTCAAACTAGTGACAAACAGAAAGACAAGCAGAGGAAGGTAAAGGAAGTAAACATTTCAGGAAGCTGGATTTGAACTTTTGAACAAAGAATTTCGATGACAGAAATATTAGTGCCAACCCTGATTGTGCCGCAGGAACAAACTACTAAGCTTCCTTGGATGTGACATGTGAGACGATTTTAAGATTAAATTTCGAATGGGGCCCTCTCTTTCTTCCTTTGGTTGCTTGGCGAAAAGCTTTGTCAGCTTTCTGATAAATATTAATAGGTGGATTTAAAGTAATGATTGAACAAGAACAACCTGAAGGCAATTAGTCGCCTGAAATTACCTAAACAAAGAGTATTGGAAGCCCGGGACATCATCCCTCTGCATTTCTCAAAAACAATCTTTGCAAAAACAAAATTAAACTTTATTGCTACAAGCAATTATTGGTTACTCGTCAGAATGCTGACAAATAGTTTCCAGAATAGAGCGAAATTTTGTGCCTCTGGTTCCTGATCATATTTAAAACTCAGATTATAGATGACTCTGAGTATGATTTAGACACAAAAGCCATTAAATGCCATCCCAAATGATAACAATCTTGATATATATTTCACAATATTACAGTATATATGGTTAAATTAACACGCAATAATATTTGAAGCCCTGTTTTGGCAGCTATAAACCTTTTTATTTCTGGGAACCACGATGCTTAACTGCTGAATTTGGTCATTGTCAGCAAAATATAAAAAAAACAAAGCCTGGTGCGTTGTGATTTAAATTCACTGCAAAATGAACCGCTGGTCTATTTTAGCAGCTCTGACACAGATGAATCCTCATTAAAATGCACTGTTTTTGACTGTGACTTGCTGTTGGCCACTAATATATTCAGTGTGCACAGAGTAAACACACAGTGACGAGATTCGCATCTGTTTCTACACAAAGGGACATGTGAAGGGAAAAGCAGGCATGTTTCACCTTCCATGCACTGCTGGGTTCAACGCATGGGCAAATCCTAACGCATGTGTGAAAACAGATGCAGGTGAGAATGCGAAATGGTCCAACGGCGCCAATCTCACAATTGCAAATTGGAAGAGTAAGCAAGGAAAAGATTAATTTGATAAATATCTCTGTGCAACACCATGCTAAACAGATGAGAAATCCCATGCAGAGTTCAGAGTACTGCCATGTGCTGCTTGTGAAATGCTCTTGTTTAACTGATCGTCGGCTGGCGCTAGCACCGTCATGAAAGCAGAAGCTTTATCAGTTTGCCGGTTTGAAATATTTGTGTCTTTAGTGCAGCACCATGGTCTCAGAGATGTGGTTGTTGCCCATTACTTTTGGACAAGTTCCCAAACAGAAAGTGTATTGAAAAGTGGGAAACATTCAAGACAGCTGTCAATGTTTCACGAAGTGAATGTCCCAGAAAGTTCACATAGAGGTAAAGCAGTGCAATCCATGGAGAAAACACGGAAGGAAAAACCGAGGGATGCATTTTTAGGACTATCCAAACAAAAATAGCTTATCGGAAGGGTTGACAGGAGAAAGCAGCTTCTTTATAAAAACTAAAAGTTTGCGCAACTTTTGTTTGGAAAGCTGCATCTGAACAATCTTGATAATAGAAGAAATGTTCCACTCTCATTTGAAGTGCTACATGCATTGAAAACAGAACACTTTTGAGGTCCAATATCTGAAATCAGCTGCCAAGCACAGAGGTGAAGGGCTGACGATCCGGGTTTGTTCTACGGTAACAGGAAATGGGTATCTTGCAGCTACTGAGTCAAGCACCACCTCCTCAGTATACCAAAGTCTTTTTTCTACAGTAAAATGTGAAATAGTCTGACATCCCAATCTTGGCTGAAAATGCACTATTTAAAATGGCCGTGAACCCAAACTAACCAGAAAATCTAGAGAAAAATGGCTTCAGTAAGCAGAAGGAAATCAAGGTCTTCTGAGTCAAAGTAAATTCAAATGCAGTGATTAAGTGAGCTGTGCATAAATGAATGTTATCAAATCTCCTTCGCTTGACTTCATACAAAACAGCTACTTCAACTTACATCTGATAAAACAGACCCGACGCAATCTGAATCAGAGGTGGACCAGTATACATACACTGCTTCTTCATTTAGTCTTAGTTTGTAAAAAAAATGTGTAATATTTATTTTTTTTGTAAATCCCGTTGTCTTTTCATGCTGTTCCACTGTGTCTTTTAAAGTCTCCAGCACAACAGCATGCAACTGTCCTGATGTCCATCTGAAGTAGTATTGGCCTGATTTTTAGGACCTTGAGAGGTCCATGTGAACTTCTTTTATTTTCTTTCTTATGCCTATATATTAATCCTCCCCTTTTGAATTGTTCACTACAAAATGGTCTCCTACATTTCCAGTATCTATTCATTTTGATTTCCATTTCTGCATTTAGCAGACACTTTTATTTGAAGTGAGTTACAAAAAGAGGGTTTAACATTCAACTACAGCAGCAGTTACACAATTACCTTACCTTGTGTGCAATATGCTAGAAGAGGATTTATCATTAAGGATTTAACATTCAACTATAACATAGATAATAGAACTACCATACTTGAGTGCTATATGCTATTTCCATTCAAATAAAACACTGCATTTACACAGTTTTTGCAACATCCAGAATCAATACATGTGAATTGATTTTCATTTCAAATGTTGAACCTCTTAGTATAAGATGTCTTCTTTATCACAAAAGACCTTTTAGTGTACAGTTCCCAGCAAAGCTTTCAGAATTTAAACTGGTGCCAAATGCTGCACTACACTGTTAAAATAAGCACAAAAAAATCAAAGACAAGTTCAACCGAATACATGACTTTGAGTTGAGGGAACATAGAAGAAAATATTTTATATATCTTTTTGTCTGAGGTATCTTTTTGTTTATGCTATGATTAACTGTATTTTTTCAGACTTTGGTTTAATGACTATGGCTTTTTTATCACACAAAAAGTCAGTTTTGTTGTGCTGTTTATGCATTAAAATATGTAATTATCTGGCAGTGAAAAAATAAAGATTATTCCCTTGATTGTTCCCAATAGATTCCATTATGATCCGTTTAGCTGACTCTGATATGGATTTTTTTCTGTAATATTGCTAATGATTTTCCTCCACTGTTACTAAGCCGTTTTTCAGCTAGATCTAGATGGGTAGCTTCAACACCCAGCTGGCTTGTAGAAAGCTGTGAATTATGAATCCGTTGTCACGTCGGCTGCAGAAAAAAAAGCATCTTTCTCAAAATTAATTTGAAATGTTACTTCCCCTAGGGGCTTTTACCTCTGAGTCACAACCTCTAGTGAAATAGTTGGGAAAACTTTTTCATCTTGACCTTCTCCTGAATCTTTGCAGCTGTAGTATTTATGTTCACAGCCATGACTGAATCTGCATGCAGACTGAAAAATGCAATTAAAACTTAAATCTGTCGTCAAACACATCACTTTCCCAGACAGGTACACCTAGTTCACTGGTCCCCTCTCTAAATATTATCACTCATATCAAAAGCAAACGCAACAAATCTTGTCATTTGCAGCCTGTGCCGGCTCTGTTTACCCACGGTAATGTGAAAGAGTTCATGTGGGGAGATTTGAAGCACATCGAGGTAGAGAGCATGGAAAAGAATTCCCGCCACTGCTATCTGTCCAGGCTACAGTAGTACAGCACCTTTAATCTTATTGACCAAGCATCTCTGACAACTTTTTTATTGATGCCCGTTTTTAAATAATCAATATGTGTGTTTCATGTTTGACTTCAGTTTGCTTAATTGGCTGACGATGAAGCCCTGTGCCTGCAGGGGATGGCCATTAGCTGAACTTTTCTTTGAAATCAGCTGAACTTGGCCAGTAGTTTTATGCATCATGTCGAATTCGTTTTAATGGCATGGCTCCTAAAAGTGTGAAGAGAAAAAAAAGGGTGTATAGATTCTCAGTCATATTAACAGGTGAAGAATGTCAAACGACAATATAGCAAGAGAAAATTTGTGAAAAATCACTGAAACATGACTGATAATTACAGCAGATGACTGAATTACCTTGTGTTTCCACTTCTAAAAGAAACAGTCCTTTTACAGTGGTTTACACTGAGATCTATTTTGATCTGTAACTACACAGCAACTGAGTTTTCTAATAATACTGAAATGTAGACTTTATCCTTGAGTATTCAAACTAGAAAGCACCCCTTCCCTTCATGACCAGCAGTATTAAAGCAGGAATTGCTTTAAATTGATAGTATACAACACAATCGATTGGACTTCCATTTAATTTCCATTAGATTTCCATTTCTTACATGTAAATTTGTAGTCAACACCATCAATAAACAAAAATACTAATACAAATGAATAACAATCTTCTTAGCCAACCTAAAAAGAAAATGCATGTGGTGCAGTGCTGAATAACATTGAATCTATGCTGTTTGTTGGCAGGTGTATATAAGTTGGTGGGATGTTCTCAAGGGAAATGAAGCGTAAAGAAAGAGAAATATCCTGCTGAGACTGCTTGAATTTCACATAGTGCTTGCCCAGCAGTAGACAATAGTCAAAGTGCTATCTAGAGAAGAACCAGATGTTTTCTTGAACAGCTAGTTTGATCGAAAAGCTACTTAGGGCCGCCGGAAAACATCAGATTTCAATCTCAAGCCAGTAAGCACACATTCTATATTGTGAGATACCATGCTCCATGCTACCAGCCGGTGTTTATTCTGGAAGTGACTATGTAAACACCAAAACACAGTTCCCTCTAAGATTACACTGATGTTAATATTTTTTATTTTTTTATATTCATTTTCTTTTTTAGTTTAAGTTGTTAGACAATGGTAAAACCATTGGGTCCAGTGGAAACTCCATTCTGTTGCTATTAGCATTGGCTAGCCTGTATTAATTGTAATTGTGACAACGCAATGCCTATTTTGAGGGCACGCAAATCGTATCCATGGGAAAAATTATTGCACGAGAAGAAAGAAAAAAAAACTGTCATGTTACCTTGGGGTCTCTGTAAGTTTTCACATCAATAGGTAGTATTGGTAACCTTGTTACCAAAGGACTTTAGGAGGGATTACAACAGATAACCAAAGGAAATTAGACCTATCATTAAAGGAAAAAAATACATATGTTAGCAACATGATTACATAATCTTTCAAATACATAATCCCTATTGTGATCATAAATTCATTCTCAAATTAGTTACAGTAAAGCCATTTCAAATCTAAATTTAAGCTGTTTTTTCCAGGTTTTTACCCTGGAAAAAAGTAAATGTGTAGAAAAAATATTCATTTCAAGGTTACACACGTCACAAAATTTCAGCATGAGCATTTTCATTCAGACAGAATTGGCTTGAGCATCCTCTCAGACATTTGTTTGAATGTATCGGATTTTACAAATCCACTGTAAAAAAAGGTGGACATCACTATAATCGCCCAACCTTTTTAAGGATTGCTACGATAGAACCAAGCCTTGTGTGTTAGCAAGAAAGGGAGTCTCTCATGTCTAATGATCATATTAAGGCCTGTTTGTGTAATTAATGCATTTAATGACTCTCCTTTGTCCTATTGGAGAAGGCATTCTATTTTCCACGTGTGGCTGTTGCCTTTTCGAAAGGAGCAAAACCAAACGAACAAAGGTTGTCCACAGAGATGCACTTTGCCACACCCTCGTTTCCCTTGCCTCATTATATGGGTTCTGTGAGTGGTTTTATTGGTCATAAAATTGACCTGTCTATTGGAAAAAAAATAAGACCAAGATAGAGTTCAGATGTTTTATTTGTCAGTCCGTGAATGGTTATTGTAACTTACTAAGCCACACAGCAGCTGCCTTTTCTCCAACAAAATGCACAAACAGAAATTGACAGTCAATATTTCAGGACAAGGCTCCCATCAGAGCTCTATTTGGCTATTCCTGGTAGACGGCATGCATCCAATCCCGAGTATTAGGAGAAAGGTCTTATGTTTGTTATTGTGATATTTATGTCCCATAGAGTTTATAGATTGCTCACCACATTGTTTTCCACTCCCATAAAGGACTGGAATGGGCAGAAGTGGCCCCTGTGTTTATCACTGTTTATTCGTCTCTGTTGGTTTATTAGTTTGTGCTGTGCTGCTTTGTTTGCCTCCAGCTTGCTTGACAGCTTGCATCCACTGGGAATATAGTGGCCTCAGCGTCCCAGCTCTAAATATACACTGATTTTCACCCAATGTTCAGTTTGTCTAAAGTCAGTACTGTTTAGTAAAATGCTCCCAGGCATTAAAGGAAATGCGAATTTATGTCCAGTTACCCAGCTGGTGTAATCAGGCTTTATTAAAGATTGTTGTTGGATAAATGGATTATTGGTATTATTTGGTACAGACAACTGTGCTATAAAATCATGCTTAAATTGCAGATGCTGTGATGTATCATTATAACAAGATATGAGATTAGATTTAAAAAAGAAAAAGACATTTCTGCAAACTTTAAAAAGTAAACGTTTGCTTTAAATTCCTAAGCAATGTTGCAAAAAAACAACAACACAAGGTGACCCCTTGCAGAATCCTTTAAATTTTGTTTTAAAAACATGAATAAAACCATTTCAAATATGATTGCTTTTGCAAAAGTCAGTGACACATTCTTACAGGAATGTACCTACAGGTTAATATGTGACTGCTAACTGCAAACGCCTTGAAAAAAAATTATATTGAAAACGACACAGACTGGAATTAAGCTAATATGTTAGCTAATATGTTACTCAGACTGTAATTAACCTAACTAAGGGAAATAACTCAATGTAAAATCTCAGTGTCCTAGTGTTCCTGCTCCGTGTTCAACATTGTTAAGCAAGGTCTTTTTCTTAAATAAATCAAGTGCTTTATTTACCGAAGCCAAGGAAATTAACAGGACCTTAACAAATATTGTTAAAAAAACAAGAAGAAACTAAGTGACAAACTGTGAAGGTTTGTGAGATCAGATTAAACCCTCCGGGGTGAAAAGAGGTCAAATAAATTGTAGCTTCATCTCTGCATTTTTTTTTGTACAGGTGCTAGGAATGTTCTTATCTAACTGTCAGCAAGATAATAAATGAGAATGCGTTCTAAGCTTATTCCTGTGAATTGTCAGAAATGTGTTGAACTGTGGGAAGACATCCTATTATTAGTTTTTTTCTTTTCAGAACATGAAAGATTTACTTTTTTCCATCAAAATATGACTCTTTTATTTACTTCAAATGTCCCCTATATACACGTGTGTGTGGTTGTGTGTGTATGTGTGTGATTCTAACTCATCTCTCCTCTCTTAACACGGCTCCTACCACAGCCCGGGTGTGTGACAACGAACTCCTGCGTTGCCAGAACGGCGGGGTGTGTGTCAACAACGTTCGCTGCAACTGTCCCTCAGCTTATAAGGGCGTGCTGTGCGAGAAACCCCGCTGCGAGTCGGAGCTGGGGGGCTGCAAGGGCCCAGATTCGGGCCAGGCCCCCCTGATGCCGCCGTCCTCCTCCAGTTTGCTGACGCTGCTGCTGCTGGGCTCCACACTGCTGAGAGAAGCCTCCTGCTGGCCCGCTGCGCTCTGAAGAGACCTCTAACTTAGTGGGAGTGACTCCTGCAACCTCCACCTTTACCCTAACATACCCCTCTCCCCTCCCCCTATTTTATTTCGAATAATCAACGACCATTAAAAAAAGAACCATGAGCTTTGTGGACTGTAACGTACTGAGCTTATACGCTGCCAGATCGGATGGACGCGCTGACGATAGAGGAAATGTGCCAGATAAATAAAGAGTGCAAAAACTTTCCATTTAATTAAAAAGATATATAGAGAAAAATGAAAAAAATGTATACTTCTAAAATAAATATAGATATTATTAAGAGTATGAGTACACGAGCGTTTGCCTGATAAGACTACATTGAGCCGAGAACAGTCAGTCCCTACCCACCCTTCCCACCCCTCAAAGCCATACCAGGTACATGAGCTCCTTCCAGTTTGAGAAGGGATAACTCAAGACGACAGACTTCTTCACTTTCTCTCTTATTGCCACGGCAACAACAGCTGCAACTAATCAGCTCTGGCACGAGCCTACAGTGGCTGTAGATCCCCTCGGGATACTTCTGCAGGTTCATGTTTGTTGGACTGACGCCGATTATTTAAAAGGGAAACAAGGACAACAACAAAAAAAAAGCATAAAAACTGTCCCAAATGAACAGCAAGGACCGGCCTCAGACACAAAGCCGTTCGACTCAAATGTGACGACAAATAGAGAGAGGTGAAAAACCAAGGACACATTCTTTGCTGTCAGTGCATTGTGGATAGAAGGAAATCTGTCCGGACTGCCACTTTGTGACACAAAACCTTGCTCGTGTTGATCCCTCTCAATCTTTCTGTCTCACCTTCGAGCTCCCTCTCCATCCTCCCTCCTGTTCAGCCTCCCTCCGATTCCCCCAGCCATGCTGCCACCGACCTGTGCTTTCGTGAACGTTACTCTGTAAACCCTTGTTGGTTGAAAGATTCTTTTGTCCAATGTTAGTGATGCACATGTGTAAGAAGCCCCCTGCCCCTCCCTTCCTTTCCCTTATTTCAAAAAGATACTCCAATACAGCTGTCTTTCTTTTTCTATCTTAGAGCCAGCTCACTCCCCTCAGTCATCCTCAGAGGGTAGTTTTCGCCTGAGCAGATGAGAAGCGCATAGAAAACCATCGGTGTATTTGCAGTTTCTTTTCATGACAGAGCAAATTAAATGAAATGGGAAAAAAAAAATAAAGTCATGTAGTCCTTTTGTATCTCTTCCGAACTGTGATTGAAAAAAGGCAACCTTTAATGTATCTATTTAAGACATCCAAATGCAGAAGCAATGGTTCCCTTCTCTTTTTATTTTAATTTATTTTGAATATTTGTTAGTTTATTTGTTTTTAGTTGTGCAGTTTATTTTCCTTTGTATTGGCAACGTGCTGGCATCAAAGAATATCAGTTTACATATACGGTATTAATAAAGTGTACTAAAATCCCACCAAAGGACATTATAAATGTTTTGTTCTTGCTTTAACACTTGAGAATTTAAGTGAATAAAAGTCTTAAAAAACTAAATTGTGTCAATCATGTATTATTGCTAAATAATTAGCTGAGGTAATGTCGTTTTAGCTTCAAGCAAAGTTATTGTACTGTTTTTTCTTTTAAATATTAATTACAAAATTGCAGGTTTTGGTTTATGTGGGGTATTTGTCTTCCACAATATGCCCATTCACCCAGTAGATTTATGCTGTGTTTGTATTTCAAACACACTTAGATACGTAAGCTATTTCAGTACAGAACAATATTTAAAAAAAACAGAGACTACATGTCAGTCTGTCTTTGATGACCTTTATTATATTTGGTACATTGTGTGGCAGAGTTTTATGTCTATGCAAATACCATGTGTTTTCTTTTGTCTAGATTTTGCTCTGTAAAGGTGTTTATGATTGGAATAATCTGGCCACAAACTGTAAAGAAAAGGTCGATCCATAAAAAAATGGTAAAATTTGTGATCTTCTGAAATTCCAAAAGCGGTTAAGTCGAGAAAAAAAACATTTCCATCCACACATACCTTTAAGGGTTGCAGAGTTGGGATCCTATCCCAGCTGCCATTGGGTGAAAGGCAGGGTATTGGCTCAGGTCACTAGGCAATCACAAGGCCATCACAAAAAAAAACAAGGGTGTATTCCAAGCACCAATCAACTTAACTCCTTTGGAACTGCTTGATAGGTCAGATAGGTCCCCATTGCCTGGTATCCTATGGTTTCTGGAATTCAAATAATTTCACAAATAACTGCTTCATAATGAGGTCATTAGTAGAAGTCTGGGTTTATGACCAAACTAAAATCATCAGATGCATGTCTGAATTCCAGGAGCCAATACTGTTCAGAATGCTGTGCATCAAAGACATTAGATACGATATGCAATCTATTGGACACAAACATCCACAAGGCACCCCATCAACATCAGGAATAAGAATGTACATTTCAGCTTAGATGATATCTGCCTGTGAGTTCTTTTCAATTCAAAATGGTAGAGAGAATTTCCCATGGAATCCATTGCCAGAGACACCAGATTGAATATAATACACCTACTATGCCTTCCAGAGAGTCAGCATTCAAAGCTTAGTGAGTCCTGTCAGGCACTCAGACACAGTTCACGCATAAGTTGAAATATAGAAACAGCTATTTTGGTGGACCCTATCACTTTACTGAACAAACAAAATCAATAATAATTAATGTCATATTACTGTTGGCTGGCTTTGATTGTAAATGCCAGTTCAATTCAATGGTATTTCCATGTACTTGTTTTTCTCTTGACTCAAATCTCAAGAGCAAATTCAATTCAAAATTCTTTACATGATCAGCACACTGTAGTGCCAAGTGAAGTCAAGTAACAGCTTTGTTTCAGCTTTGGTTGTACTGGGCATTGTGACAAAATGTTAATGTAGTCTTTTTAAAAGAAAACAAATGTAAAAACCGTGGTGATAAGATACCTCATTTCTATTGGTATTTATATTTTGGATTAATTTGTCAAAAGCACATGACAGAAAGAAACTTGACTAGGTCTTAATTGATTACATGGATTTAGGTATTCAGAAAATGTTATTATGGAAAATGACAAACTGGAAAATCACATTTTTGGATCAAGTTTAGAAGAACATTGTGTGTTGAGCAATGAGCCTGGATTCATGTGTTGTCCTATATATTCATATGAATTCAGTCATAAATAAATAATTCAGTCTCTTGTTTGTCAAGGTCCCCTAAAAAAGATGTAATTCTACCATGTGTTCGGCCCAGGTGCCAATGTGCCATGGCGTGTGGAGAATAACAAAAGAGCTGATGTCATTTGGGGAGAAGACTTCATCCTTGATAGATAGATAGATCTCACCTTAAGCAGCTGGTGGGTGACCCAGCCCTGATGTGCCACGGAAATACCTTGGAGCAAACCATCTCCCAATGCAACATCCCTCCATCCATTTACTAAACCACTTATTCCTAGTAGGGTCATGGGGGGCTGGAGTCTATTCCACCTGTCATTGGGCGAGAGGTTGGGTAAGGTTGCCACACCATCAAAGGGTCACACAGAGCTTAACAACTACACGCACTCACTTCTAGAGGCTGGCCTGAAAGATATTTTCTGATTAACCTGACATGTATGTTTTAGGATTGTGGGAGGAGGCCCCACAACAGGGAGGACATCTAAACTTCCCCGTGTATTCGAACCAGGAACCCTCTCACTGTGAGGCAAGAGTGCAAACCCCAACACCCCCGTGCACCCTACCGATGCAATGTGTCCGTGGATATGAGTTAAATGTTGAGTTAAAAGCGACATTGAACGTGCTAGTTTTGACATCTGCCCTGCAGCAAACCAAGCATGGGATTTATCTGTTGGAAATCAGTGACTCAGTAAAGGCCTTTTTACCATGAAAGCAGAGGATGTGTCATTTCAAATTTGCTGTAATGAGCTGGAGTCCTGCTGTCTTATAGCAACCATTAGTGGCACTCGCGGGCAACAGACTCTCAGCATGGAGCAAGCCTTTCTGCCAGAATGGTGCAGGTATAAGATGAGGGTCAAGTCCAGCACTGCAAATCAAAACTTGAAAAGTCTCCACAATTCCAAGCACAAAGTGGTACCATTTTATGTTTACGAAGGCATTTTATGATGCGAAGTCAATGGAGCTGCTGTTTATCGATGGTTACTCGCTTTCTGGTACATTTCCTTTTTCTCAAGATTTGTCCTTAGTCCTTATATTAAGCTAATGTGTTGGCGTTTCCACTGTAGGCCCAAAAGAATAATCAATGTTCTCATCAGTATAATGCAAAGCCAACATTATAGAACCAATTAATTGTCATTAAATGTTTGGAGCCTTAATAAGTGACAGCTGACATGGTCCTGTCTTCACAGCCTAATTGCTAACCTTTTTCTCATTTTTAGTAATTGAATAATAGCGGAGTTCCAATTTATTTATCTTAATAGTTGAAAAGGGAGATGAGGAAGTTTGTGTATGGCCACGTAAATCTGGAGAAAACTGAATGTGCTGCATCAGATTTAGTAAAAAATTCCCATGAGGAACATTAATCAAATCATTGGAGACTTTTCAGATGTCTTTATGTGTGAGTGTGTATATTTTTCTTGCAGCTCCTGGTTCTGGATAAAGAGAACCTCATGTATGTTTGGAGCCCACATCTCCTGGGAATAGTAATAGAGATTTTACCCATATCATTTGAGAGACTAAACGGTTTGCTTTTCTTACTACAAATGTTTGAACAATTCTTTCATGTAAACTAATTCATCTATTATATAATAAGTTGTGGTACCTACACACATATCACACATGCCAAATAAACTTCTTTTCAGGATTTATTCATTGTCTGTGTTTGAAACGCTCATTCACAAATACTCGGTAAGAGTCTGAGTGAAAACAAGCCTAAGCAGACTTACATTACGTGGGCTGAGAGGTATTGACTCCGCAACAGCTCTATTGTTCCCGCTATGGTTGTGATGTGTTTGCTTGTGTGATGATCAATGCTCTTATTGAACCACATGCAGCACTTATTGATC